TTATGGTCTAGTTGAATGCGCTATTTGAATAGTGCCAGTGGGCTAACCTTTGCTTCCCGAAACATAAATAAATATAATTGCTTTCATATTGATTGTGAATGTGTCCAATGTCCATGTCCATTCTCAAATAGGTTTCATATTTGTTCTATGTAAATTAGTGGTCAGACTCTGAAGCCATGGGGCGACTTAGTTTAAATGAGACACATAATTGCAAATGGATCGCATACGTAGAATTGGTTTGCAAGTAAAAGCTATCAATTTCATTGACCTTATTCATTTTTTGTTGTTGTTGTTGTTAAATCTTTGGCGAATCAAATGACCAAAATGAAAGGCAGTCAAGTTTCTGACCACTGATCACTAAGCCATACAATATCAGCTATGATTCGAATCATATCATATCAGTAACACAGCGAGAATTGTAATTTTCAAATGTATTTTGAATTGAAACTTAAAGTGGAAATCGTATCTATTGCTGTCACTTTGGCTGACACAAAATGGTGCTCTCTTGTGGTGCAACATATATTTAAATTTTACTATATAGACGCTAACACACACACATGAATATATATCTATGTATACATGAAAAGTCGTTCTGTAATAGCGCCAAAATTTTTGCTTAAAACGTGAAAATTTATGATGATTGTGCATAAAATTCTCGACGAAATGGTCTGATGATGCTGCAAATGAATCACGAAACTCAAACCATTCGCAACATTGGGGTTATGGGAATTCAGAATGCTATTTAAAATCAACAAGATAATCAAATGTGCAAAAATTGCGAAAATCCCCTAAATGTACTATTTTGAAAATAAAACACTATTCAAACGATATTTTGTTGTAAATTATATTTATGTATGAATATCATTTTGTTCAATAATAATTTACGCTATTCAACTCTATTATCCATTCGAGTGGCGAATGCCAAACTAGTTAATAACGCTAATAATATTTCGTTTTGCTGGAAAACGATAGATAGATAAATTTAAACCAAATGCAGATAAATTTCATTTCAATAAATAAATTTTATGGAAAATTCCGGGATAAATTTGCACAATATCACCGAAAGAAACAAGACTAACGAATGGTCGAACAGAGGTGCCTCCAAAAAAATTGAAACGAAATCAGAAAAAAAAAACTATATTGCATGAAAAAAATAACGAATCAAACCAATTGCATGATAGTGAATCGCGCCATCATTTCACACTTGACGCACATTCAATAATATGATACAAAAATAACACATCATTTTGGCTCATTTCATGTATTTTTTGGCCGGTGTGTTTCTCTCTCTCTCTCTCTCTCTCTCTCTCTCGGTATGGTTGTGTCAGCATTCCATGCATTCCATCGCTAGCGGCAGAAAGTACTGAATCGAAAATCCGTTTGTCAAGTAACATATAAAATTGTCAAATTTATCATGATACATGATAAATGCAATAAAATATGAAAAACCACGCGCGAAAATACCAATTCGGCATATACTATATACATATAATTTATATCGTATTATTATTATACACATGCAATGTTCTTTGCAAATGAAATTGAAACGTTTTCGTGTGCCCGACGATGATGGCAGAAATAAAGACTTGACGTTGATGACATTTATGACAATGCGACTGATATTCACACACACACACACAATATTCCGATCCGAAATCTGAATAAAATATTAAAAAACACGAACGCACACACCCCATAGCATAACCGAATGCTGTACAAATCCAAATAAAAGAAATTATGAACAAAAAAAAAATTGTGCCAGATAAGCATTTTAAAGTAGACAGGATGCTATTATGCAACAATGATATGTCCAATTAAAGCTGTTCAAAAATGCTTTTTCGTAATGCGAATTGGCGTTGATATAGGCGTTTATATATTTTCTTCTTGAAACATTTTGTTCCTAAGCCGGATATATCATTTTTCCAACCAAATACTATTTAGCCATTCATGTAAATGGTTCGCAATACGAAAGAGTTTCCAACACATTTTAACGAAAATTGAATGTGAATAAAAAAAGAAACAGTCAAATCTTGAAGATTGAATTATACGGCTTATGAATAGTTTTAATATTTAATGCCATAACATAAATAATTCTATCGTTGTTTGCAACGATTCAAAGTTAAATATTGATTGTGTTGATTATTAGTATGCGGCGGCTTTTGTTCAATTTTTCCGATGTGCTTCGATTTATTTGAGCTTTTTGTCGCGCGATGCATGAATGAAACCGATTGGTTGACTATTTTCTGTGTACCTAGCGATTGTGCCGTTTTGGGCGAGTGTGCGTATTTATGTTTGTGTCCTGTGCAAATGTACAAATTTATACGTATTACTCTATAGAAATATGGTAAAACATTAATCGTTATCGCCTAATATCTATGCGTTCACACGATTCAATGGTTTGCAATTCGTCTGTTTTACAGCTGATAACAACTTGAATTATTATGAGGCATAAACGCGCACTATATGTGAATTGAACGAATACCAACCCGGTCTGGGTTGGCTTGTTGTTCGTTCACAAATCGCTATATTGTTATCGAGTATTTTCGACTCAGCTCAATGAATATATACATATATATATGGAATGGCAACACTATACATTGTGTAGTTCGATGGCTCTATGTATTCATCTACACGCACAACTACCGCACAGTTAGTAGAGTTAAGTAAATTTCATCCACCACCATGATGTATTACTTTGTTTGGTTATACACAAAATTTAAAGTTTATTTTGTTGATTAAATTCGGGATTTTGTGTTTGTGTACTCTCGATTATGTGCACGCATGTAATGGCCATTTTGACAATCATAAACATGCCTGTCCACTCTGACTGGCTGGTTCGCCTCACGCAATCTAATTCCAATCTCTATTTTGTCCGTTACGTCGCAAGTTTTAACTCTCTCTTTTTTTTCCCTAGCCATAAGATTTGTAAAGCTTATCGCATAAATTGAAAGTTTATGATAATATATCTTCGATGTTAGTTTTCCAATATGAATGGCATAGCAGTCTTAAAATGCACCAACGCACACACAAATGCATCCGAGAAATAGATCCAAAGAAACTCTCAATCACTTCGATTAATTACACTTACTTGCATTCGATGTCGCTTTTTTAGCATCAACACAACTGAAAATGTGCCTATACCAAATTATATGCACACGAATAAGAGTGATTTCATTGCTTACGAAAAATTCTTAGTGATCCTAATCTGGTGTAACAATATTAAATTGGACATTGTTTCTATCCTTAAGCAATGAAATGCATCATAGGAAAAAAGGCAATGGATTACATACAATGCAAGCTAATCCAATCACATAATGATTGCGCATTTGGTACATTTTTTTTAATTTATGAAAAAAAACCAAATATTTTTGATTTTCGATGTTGATTTGAAAGCGTCTGATTAGTCAAACATGTCCGCATCATCATTGGTTGCCATTGCATGTTTTTGTGCATTGAAAAATTCCAATTTGCATTACATATTTCGTAATAAAACGTCACTGGCATATGATCACATGTGAATGAGAGCTGTGTGCGAACAAGTGATTCAATTCGCCGAGCATAATGCACATTGCAAATAAGCGTTTTTAATGCATTCACGCACAATAATTTATTATTCCAATTAGTTATGCAATTTATTGATAAATTTTTCGGATTTTTCGCGTTTGAATGAGATCGCATCCGCCAATCGAAACGAAATGTTTACCATAAATTTTCAGAGCGAATAAAAATTTGAATTACAAATTGTAATAATTTGCAGCAAATTTCAACGGTAGCGTTTCGTGTTGTGTATTTGGTTTAACGAATATTGTATTGTGTGGAAATTTATCGTGTTCGCATCATCGGCGAACCGCTGAATCAATATACATAAAATGTTTGACCGCACTTTTTCCATCATTTAGCTGTGATTTTGGAGTCTTTTTTTTCCTTTTTCATGCACAAAATGGTCACATTCAGTGCACTTTTCACTCCCCATAACCACTGAATTGAACACGATGGCCGTGTGCCCGTCATCTAATAAAATCTAAAGAGTGTCATCTTCGAAAGACAGTTAACTGGCTATGAAGTGTAAGTGCGAGACAATAACATAAAAGTTTATTTGGTGACATAATCGTTAGCAGCCAACGCACCATACAATGTTTTCAAACATCGAATATGTTCGTCACATTGGATTTTGTCTTGTTTTTTCCCCCCATTTTACGATCGAACATCTTCAATCTTCGGTCGATATTGAGCGTACTGCATCATACAAGAGAAACTTGGCTTATTTCTCTCGATTATATCTTCTCTTTCTATGTACATGTGGTGTCTGAGTGAGAGAAGATCCACTTTCCTATAACCTTTATTTGGTAATCTCGAATGATTTTTACGATTTTTCGCACGACTATCTTCTAAATAATAGAGTCCAACAGGATATTTGAATATATCGCCGGCAGTCATTCGATAGAATCATATACGCTGTGAAAAATCTGCTATATTATTATTTTATGGGAATGCATAATGACCGCCTAGGAGAATGAATAAACGCGTTGAATACGATGCAAATAGAATGGAAATAAGAAAAAAAAAATCCAAACACTGTCGAAATCGAAAGTAAACGTCATTGATTGCATGAACAACTGCCATCACCACAGTGTTGTGATTATTCTTATTTTTCATTTGATAACTCTCCGTACATTGTACAAACAGACATTTGAACGTCGCATGAAATGCGTTTCAAGAAAATTCACCGAACATAAAAATTCAGTGAGCCGCAAGCAGTTTGTTAGATCATTAAAGACAAAAATGATCACCATTACTTTGCTGCTTTTCAGATAACCCTATGAGTTTTTTAATGTGATTTTTTTTATCTATATTGATTGGGAAAGCTGATGTTTTCTTCAAGTATTTTACTAAATCTATGCAATTCAAATAGAAACAAATTTAAATGGAAATTTAAAATAAGTATACGTAAAAAGTTGATTTTTCTCATTTTGTGCATCATTCTTTTTCTTTTTTTGCAGCATCCGTACCCCTCCGAGGATCAGAAAAAGCAATTAGCCCAAGATACAGGATTAACAATACTGCAAGTAAATAACTGGTAAGTGAACGAAAATTTTCTTTAATGTCCATGTTGTATTGGTGACAAGAGGCAATATCATCTCAGGTAAAATTGGGAAAATCCATTTTTGGTGTACAAAGTGAGAAGTGTAATAAATTTGTTCACTTGAAGGCGTTGGCAGGTGCCACCAAAGTTGCGACAAACTTTTAGATTTATCTTCTTCCATATACGATTGCATGCAAAATATTCTATACGAAAATATACAATATGCTACTCATATCGGTGTGGACTTGGTTTGCCTTGATGTACAATGATTTTTGGGTTCGTTATAGTTTTCGAAGCAAATATACTTACAACAACCATTTATAGCTATGGGCGACTTGATTTCAACGCAAATCATCTTGTTACACCACCATGAATTCATACTCGACTTCAAGTATGTGTGGCTTATGATTGTGACTGTCATTAAATGCTGTTCAATAAAGTGTGGAGTGCATACAAAGTACAATACAGTGTAATGGTACAACAGATCGAGAGATGTGTTTTATTACCATGAATTGCCGCATCTTATGACTCTTCTTTTCATTTGAATGTTTCTATTACAAATTGTGTATTGCATGGAATGGCTGAAGAGGCCGGCAATACTCAATGGCCGTGTCGCCATCACAAGAACATATCAAACATACACAACAACCGCATACAGACATATTTATGTTTAAGATAATATCTGCCTGCACTAGAAGACATGTGGCGTATGTAAATAATGGCGCTCTCTTTACTTTGTTTTTTTTTTCTTTTTTTTTCTTCATTTTATTATTCGCATATCGCCGATTAGTTTCTCCCTTTCTATCTCTACTTCTCTGCTACGGAACATAAACATTTGCTCGTGATGTTTTACTTGTCAAATGAAAGTACTAGACGATGATACACAGAGGCCACTTTTTCGAAATATATCATTTTTCTAAGTAGGCAAAACAAGATTCAAACATTTCCTTTTTTTCATTTGCTTTGGTCACTGTGGTGAGCAATAGAATAAATTGATCATTTAACTTCTTGTAAACAATTTTTCGTTACAAAATGATTGCATTTTTTTTTTGCATTTCACCACTCGATGCAGCCATTTGCGTCTGCAATTTAACCAATATGAACGTTTTTCACACATCGAAATGCACAATTTTTTTTGTTGGTGCTGCTCACTTTCAGTCAGAGAGAAAAAAGTAACCGCCAGCACACACACAATCCAAAATACAATTGTAATATTACATTCAGGAATTTTCATGAATCAGATCACAATGTTGAATTATGCAAAAATTGAATGCAAAAAACTTCGCCTCATTCGCCATATTCATCACATGCTGTTCGAATACATTTTGCCCGCCCTGAATATTACACGCATGGCGACATTTTTAATGTTTCATATATTTTATTGTTTTGTTTTGTGTTTGTTTTTCATTTGTTTTTCTGCTTTGCATGGCTTCCTTTTCATGATGCACTCACCATTGGCATACAGCCTATAAAGGCATACATCGAGTAACAACCAACGAAAAACAAACAAATGAACAAAAAAAAATTCTAGCGATGCGACACGTCCGTCAACTGTGCATTCCCATACCATTTACACATTCATACGAATCGCGATTCCGACATTCTACATCATTTTCTATATGTACATTGTATAACTGTGAAAATTTCATTCGCGCTCAATACGCCCGATGTTTGCCATCATATATAATTAACGTAAAATTATTATTCATCTGTAGAATACGAAAATGTTTAAGTGAATTACACGACAGCAATGTGGAAAAGAATGAACTCCAATTATTTATCATAATCATATAAAAGGCAATTGCGTTTGCTTTCGGTTGACTTTTCATTTTAGTGTTTAACTTATTTTCGGTTGGCATAAGCAAAGCAACATCGAAGACCGTCGATGTGATTTCAATTTTTCTGTACAGTATAAATTGGTTGGCGAAATAATGAGACGGTATTGTATGACAAGCAACAATTGCAAGCTGAACTCTCAGTGTATCAAGTGATAATGAGAGCAGCTGACTTGGGCCATGCTGTGCAAAGGTATTGATCTGTTACTTAATTAATTCAATTGTAGTCTGTTCAGCGGACCGACCGACCGACCAACCGACCAGTTGACTAACCAATCGAAATTGATTGCTTGATTATTGGTTTCAGCCTCTATTTTATTGAACATGCTTGTTAGTCATCATCGTGTGTGTGGATTACGTTACTATTGTGTGGCGTTCATATTCGCCTGTTGTTTTTTTTTTATTTCATTCAAAACGGCCACATAAATTTTGTGGTAAAATTAAGTCTCGAAATTTATTTGATACGTTTGTTAAATGGATTTGCACATAATTTTATTTGAGCTGTGTGCGATTTCGAAACGCACTGGCGAATATCGTTGTCATTTGCTCACAAGTTTCTTTTTTTTCTCTTCATCATCATCTCTGCAATCTCCTTCCACGCAAGAAACTTAACCGCACACGAATACACACACGCGCGCGGACCATTTTAAGCTTCTTACATATTTTACGCGGTGTCCATATTGCATGTAATTGCACTGCATGAGATTTAACTCATAATAAATAAAACATTCTCCGCAATTTTATGAAGATTTTTTGTGACAATGCTTAAGAAGCAGCAATGAAACGAAACGAAGCTGCAAAATGACGTCGACAACAGCTACAAATACAACAACAACAAAATTCAACATTTTTAGCTGTAAGTAATTTCATTTCAATGCATACGCTCATTTTTTCCCCTTTGCTCATGCTGTCTTAGCATATATGCTGTTTTGTATTTTTATGTGTTGTCAATGAAAATCTTCCATGTTGCTTTATACATCTTTTGGAGTTCATTCCATCAATTCGAATGCAATACTCGTTCGGTCGTAATTTTTTTTTTTTTTTTTTTCATTTTGAATTTTTGGCGCGACACATAACTTTACTTCAAACAAACAATAGGATAAAATAAAGTGTGGCGAGAGAAAAAAAAATCCATATATACGATGAAAAAAAAAATGGCAAAAAAACCAAGAATGAAATGGAACGTAGTGTGATATAGAATGAAAGAGGAAAGAAGAATGAGAGCGAATGTGTTCGCGCGCGCACACAAAAAAGGAGTGTAAGTGTGAGTAATTTCATCATTTTCATCTGCGAATATAAAATGCATGCATAAATAATTGTAGAAAAGTCGCATATCGCACAATGAGCAGAAAAAAAACACACGCCTGGGTTGGTATTTGACAACGTCGTCTATATGCGTGGTGCGTTGATTTTTATTCGTTGTCATCATTTTTTATTTTCTCGTAGCGCTCCTTTTTTTTCCTCTTTCGCTTTCTCTTTCTCGCCTGTTTAATGTGCTTTGTTTCACTGAAAAAAAATCTGAAAACACTTATGAAGAATGCGAATTTTTATGGCACGCAAGTGTGAAATACGCGTCATATAACATGCGCACCAAATAACGAAATATTTTCGTATAAAATAAATTGCACACGAAAAAAAAGTCAACAATAACAACAGCAACAACAACATCAAACATATATATTTGCATGTATACGCATATATATGTATAAAATGAACGAGCGGGTAAACGAATTGAACCATTTGAGTGTTCACATTTATGTGCATGCGGTTAGATTATTCCAATACGCAATCAGTGTTAAAATAGCACAAGTTTACTCATAAAAACCAAGTGGTTTTATTGGAATTTTATTAACTATTTGCAACCGGCAAATTTTTCGTCTGTATCTCATTTGTTTCAATCGAACAATTTCTCTTTTTTTTGGTTTTTTCAATTCACACCATGCATCGTACTTATGCATATTATGTTTCCGTAGTTCAGTGCCAAATTTTAATCGCGACAATATGAAATATTTTGCTATTAATAGCGTTATTACTAACGATATACACGCTCAGTTTAGTTTGGCGTTAATGCAATGCTCATTGGTATTCGGTTCGCCGAAAGCCACCCACTTGCTTCAGTTATTTTATGTGCCACAGTCATATTGTTTCGATTTCAACACTCTTAATTTTCAATAAGTAGCATCTCTGATGTGCTACAGAATGAGGGAATGCAAAGAAATTTCACTTGTTTGGTCTAATTTAAGTGGTATCATCCAAGTTCGATTCTATATTCAAAAGCCACCCATATCAATAAATGTGAATAAAATACATCATTTCTAGATTAGTTTTATTGCCTTGCGATTGATGTACACCGAAAAATGTCTCTTTACCATTATCTCTCTAACAAGAAGCGTGCACACACATGCATATGGTTGTATTAGATCGCAAATGCTGGTGTGCTTGTTATCTAAAAAGAAACCCCGTCTGTGTATACACAAAATGAACAAAAGCTACAATGAATGATGATGAAAAAAACGCATTGAGAAAATAATTCGAAGATTCCCTAGATGCTGGCGAAAGCAAAGAAGGATTTCTTTCATTGTTATTGTAAAGCACCCGTAATGGAAGCACGAAATTGTATATATTTGGACACAAATATAAAAAAATGAGTTAAACGCCGAGAAAGAGAAGGAGAGAGAGAGAGAATTGCAAGATAGGCAAAGGCATAAGACGAAAAACCATCTCGATGAACAAAAAAAGTAGTCATCGTTTCAGGACACATTTTTACCGTTTGTTGATAAGAAAAGAGCACGAACAGAAAATCAACCAAAGATGGAGTGAAAAGAAACGTAATCAAATGATATGACGACCTAAAAAAAGCGAAACGATAGAAAATGTGGGACGGACGGCTGCCGAGAAAAAAAAACTGTTCGGCAAAAGAAAAAATTTCCTTCACTTTGGTATGAAATGCTCTGTGTACTGATTCTTCATTGTATACACCATTATTATGCATCGCCTTTTTTAATAGTATTTTCACGCGAAATTTTATTCTTCCTTTTTTTCACTCCCATTCGCACCCAGGCCCCGAATCGTTTTAATTTTTTTGTTCCTTGTTCTCTTTCGTTCAATGCTGATCGTCTTTTCAAAATGTGCACTCATTTCCCTTGAGGCGATGTCATT